TTCACTGTGTATGCGGCAGGGCAGCCCAGGCACCCCCTGGGGCGGTGGACGCTGGCAGCTGGCCAGGAGGGAAGAGCCCCCACCCTGAGCTCCCGGCCTGCCTTCGGGGGTGGGTGATGGGCAGCGGACATGGCGGGGAAGCGTGCTCCTTCCGAGGCCCCCGGCTGGCCTGCAGAGAGTCCACTCTGCCCCGAGTTTCTCACCCACTGCGGCCGAGACACGGGAAGTCGCGGAGTTGGAAGAGGATTTAGCCCCAAGCTGGGATATGGCAGAGCGTCAAGTGTCCCCGCTGGGTACCCCGATCCTAGAGAAACACAGCTTTCCCAGGTGGCCGTCCGTGAGCCTCCTGTGTCTCAGGGGTGCTTCCTGGGACAGTGGCAGGGAAGCGGTCAGGAGATGGTGTCACTTTCCCCGCAGCCTGTGCCAGCTCTTTATCTGCAGGGTAAGGATCCCAATCCCACTTGTCTTGGATTCTTTCTGGTCAGGAAATTCAGCACCGGTTGGGCATTAAGCATAGCTTCCTGAACATATCAGGTGCTCGATAAATGTTGGCTATGTTGAACAGGTATTTGTGGTCAGTAGGAAACTCGGCTGGGCTCCTTCCACACTCTTGCCCTCACATTTTTCACACCCCATTGTATTCTTTCTGCTGCTGCCGCCTTCTGAGCTCAAACCACACTGTATTCTTTTAAATCTGTTTCAAAGAAGCCAGGCCTCTCCCACCTCAGGGCCTTTACACGTCCTGCTTCTCCGCCTGCACTGTCTTTCCCTAGCTAGTTGACATTCATCTCGGTGGCACTTTGGATCTGTCGGGAGACTTTCTCTGAGATCTGTGGCATTTGCTTCTCTGCCCCACGGGAACATTTTAGAAGTACTCGGGTGACGGTCAGAGCACTATTTTCCTTCCCAGTGGACTGTAAGCTCCTAGAGAACTTGTCATTGCCCCCAAACCAAGCGTGCACACAGACACCACCGCCCGGGCTGGCCTCTGCCACACKCCATTCCTCAGAGCTGAGGCCGCTAATCAGGGCCGTCCCACCTGGGGTGGCATCTAGAGAGGAGAACTGAACGCACAATTCAGTTTAACCATTGCATGTTTTGGGGGGACTGTGATGAGGATCAGACACTTTTATTTGGCTTTGGAGGATCTCGGCAAGACTCCCTAGAGTGGTGAGCAAGTGGAAACTCGCAGTCACCCCGGGGAAGGAAGGGCCGTGAGTCCTCCAGGTTCTCATTGGAGAACAAATCCCAGTGCGATGGGGTCAGGMTCCTGCCACTGATAAAGGAAAACCCATCACGTGCCCCTGCTGCCCCCGACCTTCCAGGATTAGGTGCAACTGGAAGCTAAAGAAAAAAATGATGATTAAAAAAAACCCAAAAAAAAACAAAAACATCTGAACGAAACCCGGAGAGCTAYGCTGGCTTCCATAACCGCTGAAGGGGATTCGCATTTCATCCAAATCGAAGACCACAGCATTTGCCAAGAGAATTCTTGCAGCTTCTCTGGTTTTGGTGATTTCTTTTTAACTAGCGGGTGCACACGGAAATCCAAGAGATGCTAAGACAATGGGGACACAGAAATGAAGGTGGGAGTGGTTGCCACTTGCTATGACGAATTCTCTCCCCCTCGGTTTGGGGCAGAGTTGTGACTAGTCACCTGCAACCTACTGCCCAGGGCTGCGTGTGGCTGTGGYGTCTCCTAATTCATCCTCCACGAGGATTCCCAAGGCGATGGGCAATCCCGCACTGGGTGCTTGTGAGTCTTGATTTTCGGGATCTCCTGTTGCCACACGAGAGATGACAAGCTTAATTTGTGCCTCACGCTTCTACATTTTTTAATGCGTTGTCCTGTATTCTTGGCAAGAGAGGAGAGTCTGTAATTTAGAACTTAAAAGGAACCGAGGGAAATGTCTGTCACTTGGATGCAATTTATTTTATTATAATTGTAAATGTGTCACAGATATTAACACAACCCGAGCCTACTTTGGATTGCTTCTCGAGAGGCAGATGGGGTGACAGTGGTGAYGGGAAAAGGGTCTTGCGTCCAGTGATGCGCATTCAAATGACATCTCTCTACTCACCGGGCGGAGGAYTTCCCTGGAGTCTAATTGTTGATAGTCACCTGCCTCAAAGAACAGGCCTGAGAATTCAGCGGAGACCAGGCTACACGGTCAGGACATGCTCAGCTGACACTCGGTGGACATTTAATACAAGCCACATATGTCATTTAGAATGCTCTAGAATCCAAGTGAGAAAGGAATGAGTGACCGTTGTGTATCTTATGAACCCATCACATGAAAAATATTATTTCAAGATCTATAAAAATTTTTGCAATAGTTTACCTCTTTTTAAAAAGTTAAGTCTTCAAAATGCGTTTTCTTAGAACATGTRAATTTGGACTAGCCACATTTTATTTATTTAAAGTTATTTCAGTGCTAGGGATTGGACCCAGGAGTGCTGGCATTGGGTCCACCACATTTTAAAGTGTGGCTTGTGGCTTCTGAATAGGACACTGTAGCTCTACAGGGTTGATAAGTCCTCGTTACCTTCTCTTTGTCTTCTAGAAAAAGTGTAAGAGAGTCTTGAGGCAGATGGGGGTAGCTGCTATGGAGAATCGGGAATCTGCTCTCACAGTTCCTAAATGTATTTAGCTGTGAGAAAAACCTTAGCACAACTGACGATGTCCTAGTGGTCAATCATGTTTTCATAGCCTTAAGCAATATGGTTCTGATAAGGAAAAAAAAATGTATTCCTCGATATTAAAAGCAGGCATTCACATCAACTAATTCTGCAAAATACAAGCAAATGAAGCTTGAAAAATAAATCCATAGTGCTACTAAATTTAGTTGGCCCAAACTTGGGGTCCTCTTACCCGTGAGAGTCCACGAGTAGGTTCCAGGGTTAGGTCAAGTGTCTGATATTAAATGCCATCAATGATGTATTATTTGCTTTAAGTACATTTTTTTTTTCCCCTGCAGAGGGAATCCATAGCTTCTATCCGATTCTTAATGAGCCCAGGAACTATGGTACAGGCAGCAGGGCTGGTAGAAAGACCTGTTGGTCACAGTGGTCGCTGTTTACATGGCATGGAGGGTTGCACATCAGTGATGATGGAAGGGTAAATTRTCTCCTCGCTATTACCCAGGAAAATCCCTTGACTCGCCACCAGCTCAGTGAGGCTTGCACAGGGAGGCATTGGGGAGCTCAGGTTGATTGAAGAAGTGGAAGATTCATGTTTGTGGGCTCGTGCTCACCCTGGGGCAGCCATTGGTGAACTGCAGTCATTTGTGATTGAGGGTATGGGATGGAATGTATTGAAATTGCACAGAGGATGCTCCTGGGTGTGGGGCTATCAGAGACGTGGGGCCGGGGGCCGGGGGCTGAATTCCAGTYCCAGTTTGGTTATTAATGAGCCTCACTGAGTTTCCTTGCCTCCTCCAGTTCTGGTTGGCAGAGTGATGATTTCTAAGGGGTSTCTCAACTTTTTAAGGACTGGATCTGAATTAAATTGAGACCTCAGTTTGCATTTCAAGTAGTGAGCAGCAGGTGTATCTAGCTGATCGAGTGATTTGAGACAGAAGTTGGAACCCGMGTATCTAGATGGGGATTTGAATGCCTCTGGCTTTATTATTTCCCTGTACTTTTCCCTAAGCGCATGGGCTGGTCCCTAATTCCAGAGGGAAGCCCTGATCAGAAACCCTTCTGCTTGATTCTCATACCCCATGACTCTTGGATATTTTGTTCTGGTGGGCTTTAGTGACAACACCCAAGAGAGGGAAGCTATTCGCCTCTCCCCCCAAACAGATGCTCATATGTGCTGCATAATTCACTGGACTAGTATATGTTCTCTGTGTGACACTCACTGGGAACACAGGGCATGGGGACTTGGAAACTCGGATCCAATTCTGTTGGAGGTTGGATTCGCAAGTACAGGAATACCGTGGCCTAACAGTCCACTCTGCAAAAACTTCACTTTGGAGGGCTCATTAGAATTGTGTAGCGGGATTAGTATGTAAATCATGTAATTACCATCGGGTGTGGTAGTGTACACCTGACATCCCAGCAGCTTGGGAGGCTGAGGCAGGAGGATCACTAGTTCAAAGCCAGCCTCAGAAACTTAGCAAGGCCCTGTGTTAAAATATAAAGGGCTGGGGATGTGGCTCAGTGATTAAGCACTTCTAGGTTAAAAGAAATCATGTCATTACCTTAGTAATTTTAGTGGTGATAAATATTTCAGTATCTCATTTTCATGAAGTTATTTTATTACAAGTGTAACTACCAATGGGTTTTAAGATTCCGGCCCCAAAGGAAGGATTGAGGTTTTAATGGGTCTTTGGAAAGAAATTGATGTCTGAGATATCTAAAAATGCCTTGCTGTTTCAATCCAAATTTCAATGTGAGTAAAGCAGATATCTGGTATCATGCATACTCTTGCTAATCTTTATTTTTCAGTAGGTATTATAGTGGCAATTAGTGTAAAGGGAACAATTGGTAGCAGATTTATTACATAGGCTCTTGGCGGTGATTGTGGTCTGAAAGAGGTCACTTTTGAAGCCTACCCACTTTGGTGACCCCTTTTAATGTATGAAAATACTGCCCAATTTGCAGATTTACCATAGAAATGGAAAGTTGGACAAACTCACCCAGAGTTGATAGTTATTTCTTTGGTTTACACCAATCATTTCTGCCTGTGAGTAATATCAGTTAACATGGCCCCAACTGCTAAACTTGTTCACAACCATTCATAGTGATAGGACATTGGGCCAGAGYGAAGCTCGCTGTCAGTCAAGCTGTCACAATGCAGGACTCTATGGATGGTATATCTGTGGCCTTATTCAGTGCTGTTAGATCTTGATTTACTTATGTCATTGGCTTCTAGGCTGAAAGAGGTGAATCCTTCTAAGGYAGCAGGTCATACAACCAAGGGAAAAAAATAAACACTGCAAAAGGTTTTTATTTTGTAGGCACCACTGCAAAATGAGGAATCACATCAAAACATATCAAATAGAAAATAATAATTTATTTTAACTTCATTTTACTTAGTGTTTGTAACTAATGGTGATTTCATGAACTTGCTTGTATAAGTCTGTACCTTCCCATCTACAAAGCAAAGGCTGACTACAATGAACACTTAAAATTTCACAAACCATCTCCATCGACAACTTTCCTGTACATGCAAATCTTCCAACAGGCTGCAATATTTGCAAACATGCTTTAAACTTCCATAAAGCTGCAGGATATTTTGCTTTCTGCTAWGACCTTTACACTCTCTTAGGAACCTTCACCAGAAAACTGTGTCAACRTATCATTCCAAGTCTAAGTAGTGCTGGTTTGATTATTGTTATTAAATCCTGAACCACAGAAGTTGGTGGTTTTGAGTTGAAACCTTGACCTACATATATATTAATGGTCATCCGTATGAAACACATTCAGCAAAGTAAGGTTATAAAATAGGATTCCATTAAAAATACATACCGGCAGTTGTATTTGTATTTTAGGCAGGAAAAAAAAGCATGTTTAACTTTTTTTTAATATGAATATAGTTTCAACAAATTATTCTGTGAAAGTATACGTAATAAAAGATCTTTTTGAAATTTAAACACTTTATGTAAAAGGTAACAAGTAAAAAAGTACAATTGCTATTTGAAAAAAGCTGTTAGTATTGCCTTCAAAGACGGTAAAGGGTGTAATTTTACCTGCACTGAAAACAGCGGTGACAGCCCAGTCGCAGRTGTGACAGACTGAGACTATAAACAGGATGACTGTCTTATATACAAAAACGTGCCGCATTGAACGAGGCAGGAATCTCCACCCCCCCGGTGGTGGTCACTCCTATGAACCGCGCGCCRAGGTGGGCATTATACAGTAGTCACGGAGAGGAAGGAATTGTACACTCTCGTGCCATCGGGGGACTTGGTGCCGTGCGTCAGGAGTTCCTGGATGGTCATCCAGTTGTCGAAGATCTTCTTGTTCCTCTTCTTCATCATCTTCTTATGGCTCAGTTCCAGGATGCTCACCTCCTTCCTCTCCTCGGCCCCCTGCTGCTCCCTCAGACAGTCTAACCTGCTCTGCATCATGAACTCRCGCCTGCGCCGCTGCTCCTTGGCCTTCACCAGGTGCTGCTTGCGCTCCTCCTTGCTCCAGTAGCGGCCCATCTTCATTTCGCTCAGGTTGTCGTCGTCCGTGGTCATGCCACTGCGCTCCTCGCGGATCTTGAGCGCACGCTCCCGCAGCAGGCGGTCGCGCACGGGCCGCTTGGTGATGTAGCGCGTGCCGTCGCTGCGGATCTTCACCTTCCACTCCATGCGCGGCTCGGAGGAGGTGGCGGAGTTGAGGTCCTTGCACATGCTCACCAGGCTCATCTGGCTCTGCGCATACTCCACGGCCGACTTCTGTTGGATGAGCTGCATGTAGCTCTGGTAGTGCTGCGCATGCGCGGGGATGTGCGCGTGCTTGTAGGGCGAGTGCGGGGCTGCGGACCGGCAGGCGGCGCGCAGCGGCGGGCTCCTGCTGCCCTCGGCCCTGTGCTCGGAGCCCTCCAGGGYGGGCCCCAGCTCAGGCTCTTTGGCCAAAGGGCTGTAGAGTGGGGCGCCGACCTCGGGGTCTTCGGTGATGGCCAGGAGGTTGGCCTCGGCGCCGCCCTCGGCCGCCCTCCGCAGGGAGTTGTCCGGGGACAGCTCCAGGGCAAGTGGGGTGCTGCGGCAGCTCTCGCCCGTGTTGTAGGCGCTCGAGCTGTCCTTGTCGGACTTCTCGGGCAGCTCGGTGATGTCGGCCAGCTCACGCCGGCGCCCGTCCACGCTGGCCGCGTAGCTGCGGAAGGCGCCGGGCGCCAGCAGCCAGGGCTCCCGCGCCTGCTCCCGCAGCTGCTGCAGCCGGTGCGCGCGCACGATGCTCAGGCACTCGAGCTCGATGCTGCGCAGCTCCTCGTTGAGCAGCTCCAGCTCCTTGTCCACGCTCTCGGGCTCGCTCTTGGCCGCGTCGCACAGGCCGTATGGGCCGCCGCTCTGCACCTGGCACTTGAGCTCCAGCAGCTCGCGGAAGCGCTCGCACTCATCCACCGGGATGCCCAGGTAGTCCACGTCCGTGCAGTCGGCTGACACGAAGGACTCGTTGCTGAAGGGCAGGTCGCCGCTGCCCAGCGTGTCCTGGCTGCATGTGAGCTTCCTCTGGCCCGCCAGCGGGTTGGAGGACGCCATGGCGTCGTCACCGTTGTTCTCCTGCTCCGAGCTCTCGTCGTTGCGCGTGCTCTCGTCTGTCCGCCCCACGCCGCTGTCCTTCTCGTGCTGGTTGGACAGGATGGTGGCCGTGTCCGTGGTCCCACCGTCTTCCTCGTGCTTCTTCTGCACGGAGAAAACAAGAACACCCTTGTAGGACAAGTGTTTCCGGAGGAGGCTGACAGTAGGGTGGGGCAYTGGCCAGCACTGTCTGTCTGGGCACCTTATCATTGTTTCCAGTGGGAATAATAATGGTTATTTCAATGCGTGAGTTTCACAAGTAGAGCAGTGCAGGGGTCCCAGGATGCACCAAGTGCTCATAGGGACTCAGAAAGTGGGGCTGTGACCCTGACCATGGGAGGGGCACAGGAGGCAGCTACTAGGCTCCCCCAAGCTCAGGTTAAACAGAGGGAATTGCTCAGTTTCAAATACACGGCTTCCCCGAGTCTACAGGAATGCTGGCACCAACAGATATCAGAAGGCGAGCTAAGCCCAGGGTGACTGCTCAGCCGTGACAGCTCAGCCATGGAGCGATTGACTTGCATTTCTCTCGCTCAGACATGGGAAATGGCCTAAGTGCTTTCTATCTTCCAGGCGGGTGCATTTTGGATGCTCCTGAGCAGCAGGAAGGGACAGAGGGGAGGGGAGGGCATGTGCCTGCGGGGTGTGGGGGTGTGGGGCTGGCCCCCAGGTTACCTGCTGGAGGACACTGGCTGTGAACTGCATGGCCTGGTGGTGCTGCTCCTCCAGCATGTCCATGTGCAGGTCATCCAGGAAGTCGTTCCTGTCGTCCTCCATCCAGCCCTCGTCCAGCTGGGGAAGCGGTAGTGATTACAAGTTTCCTTGTGCGTTCCCTTTTTTACTAACAGTGGACATTACCTTGGGGACAATACTTCTAGGGCTCCCTCCAGGAGTCGTCATAACGCAGTGTTCCCTCCTCATGGTGAAGGGTGTGACCCTATGTCCATGAGGGGAGTCTCTACTGGGGAACAGGCCACAGGCAGATCTAGCTCCATGTCMTTGCTGACCCTGGTTAATGCAGAAAGTTCTTTCTGCTAAAAGTAGGTCCATGACGTACCTGTGGGCCAGGATGTGACCGTCACCAGGCCTTTGCCTTTYAAAGGCTGCTTGGAGGCGGCCTCTTGTACCGCATGGGCTTGCCTTCGGAGTTTATCAGAACACAGCCACGGTCATTTAGAACAGCTGGGCTGACCCCGGGTGAGGTGGCTACCCAGCCTTCCTCCAGCATCCTGACTCGGCTACTCTTTCTTTTGCTGCCCCTGGAGTATTTTCCATTTAGGTTTCTGACCAAAATAGAGCTGGTGCCCTGACTCAGAACTAGAGGCATCTGCACAAGTTCATGGTCCCTGCCCCCGGGGGATTAGTGCAGCACAGCAGTCCCTTGTTTCTTAGATGGTCACTGAGGGTTGGTTAGTGTCCCTGTGCTCTGCTGTGGTAAAYAGAGGCTGTGCCTAGCATTCTAGGCAGGACAGCTGTCCCCTCAGGAAGTMGAGCATCTGCTTGCTCCCGTCCTCATTTTCCATTTTGCTATGTTTGCCTTGTTAACATCCCTTCCCACCTGCAGTGTAGGGGCTGGGGCTGGTGGCGTCATCCTAAGTGGTTCCTCAATACAGTGGACTCCAAGTCGCAGCAAGTTTAGTTATGCTTCCACATACTTGTCATTGTGGGGCTGGGAAATGTAGTATCGCAAAGCCAGTTTCTTGAGGGGAAGCCGACTTACCTGGAGTTCCGGTCTTGCAATGAGCAAAGAAAAGTTCTTATTTTCTTCACTGGTCAGAAGAGCCACAGCCTCTTCGCGGTTCTGTACCTCTATCCCATTGATCTGAAAAAGCAAAAATAGTGCATAGTCGCATGATCTGGTGCAAATCTACTTTATCCTGCTCAGGCCTGCACTGTYGCCCCCTCAAGCTGGAACATGGAACTTTCCTGTATCGCAGGTTGCTGCTTATAGGAAAGGAAGGCCTGGTCCAGGAAGGATCCCTGTGGGTGGACATTGGGACTCCTGTGGAGGGCTGGGAAAGTCCTCCTGTTGCAGAGGGCACCAGGTCCAGGCAGAAATGGAAGATGATATTTTTGGATAATAGGGAGAAAAGGTGGCAATGAGTTTGATGAGACKTTAGGGAGGTGGAAAGTAGAGAGGGGGATGGAGTGACATGGGGTGTTTGTGCCCCAGCTTAACACTAACTTCTTTGGAGTTGGAGTGACTGTCACCTTCACACCTGATAACCTTCTTGCACAGTGCTGGTTCACCTGCCCCAGAGAYTCTGCAGGTCTTAATTGCAGGGGTGTGGCTCCTCTAGGGCACGTCCCACCTTACAACAGGCAGCAAAAGGAGAGACCACTGGTTGCTGTGACCAGTCCTAATGGCCAGGGGCAGAAGGGCTGCTGAGACATGGTGCAGGCAGAGAAGACCAGGTCTGGAATTCCAGGAGGCCCTTGGGGCATTCTGGGGGCCTCTTTGCKTAATCATAAAGCTCAATGGAAAACTGCAGTGACCAGAAAGGGTGCTCTGCCRAGCGTTCTAGCCTTAGGCAGCGAAGGTGAAGGTCAGTTTTCCAGGGGAGGAGGCTCAGCCAGGGAAGAAGGAAACCAGAATTATATAATGAGAGAAATAGACACGGTGGAGTAGAAGGGAAGAGGTAGCAAGCTAAGCCTGTGGGACAAAATGAAGCCAAGAATCTCAATCTGAGAGTAAAAAGGTTACGGCCAGAAGAGACCCGAATGGCCTCAGTRGCCTGGAGGAACAGCAGCACTCAAGGCCACGTACCACAGGATGGCTAAACGTGGAGCCTGGAAATCTAAGACTTGCCAGTGAGGCCCCCATTTTAAAGACAAGACGGAATTTTAGGTGCTTCACCCAAAACTAGAGCGATTTCCCCTGGCGCACATGTGTCCCTCCTGTCAGCGGTGCCAGGTCCTTGGCCCTGACAGATACATGCAATGAGGTGTGCTGGCTTGYCCCCCTGGGCCCTTGCCAGGCCAGGTTTCTGGACCCAGTTCTTCTCCCCTCATGCATTTCAGCCTTGAAGTGAGTTTGTTCTTTGACAGGCACACACKGAGGCCACCCGTTAAAAGCACACCTACCTGAATGATGCGGTCCCCTTCGCGGATGCGACCGTCTTTGGCCGCAATGCTGTTGGGATCGATCTGAAAGAGAGCAGACTTCTCAGCACCAACCCAGACGAGCAAGGAAATAGCCCTTCTCAGGGGTCACCTCTAACCCCGGGATGGTTACTCCTGTCTTGCACAGAYAGGAGCAAGACTTTGTGCAACACTAACACACAGGTGCATGGGCCCATCTGCCTGAGCCCTTTCCAGAGTTGGTCTTAGATCCCTGCCTGGCCGCCTTCGAACCGAGCATCRTCCACAAGCTCTTGAGACCTGAGGGGCACAAGGCAGCACAGCTSGCTGGGGGAGCACACACAGTAATGAAAATCAAATCACGGAGAACAGGTTCACGGGTACCTGAGTCACTATGTTGATTAGCAACCACACCTTGATCATTTTCACTGAATGCTTACATTAAACTCGGGGAAGTACCTTTAAAAATGGAAGATAACYGACAGAAACAGGACTCGGGGCGGGAGGGATGCCCTAAAACACTAATGTGGACTGCAGCATTGGGGAGGGGTGGATATTCAACCGGATAATCAAAAAACCCAGAAAATGGTTCTCTTGGATCATCCCAGAGAGGCAGGGCTTCTGAGCCGGCTAGGGTGGGGGCGCACGGTTGGATCCGTGTTGAGATGGGCTCACTTGCACGGCTGCCATCTATGAACTTAGATAGCTTCATCTGCATTACATCCCAACAGATGAACTCAGCGATAGAGACGCCATGAAGAGGGAGAGGGGAGGCCGGTTTTTAAAAAGCGTGAACTTGAGTAGGCAATCTGCCTTTCCCTCGGGGCTGAACACAGGAAACCATGTAAACGACTCCATTTTACGGCTGATTGGCGGCTTGGGAAGGGCGATTCTGCCTTGGATGCTGACGGGAGAGCCTACCCCCCTCCCCTGCAAAGACGMAGGCCCTTGACTCCGAGGGAGACTGAGTAGGTGGTCTGCGTCTTTGCAGAGGCCCCAGGAGGAACCAGACCAGGGCTGGCGAACATGAGAGGGTCTTGTTCAAGGGCCTGGAAACCAGAGTTTGGACCGAGGAGCACGTACCTCACTTATGTAGATGCCGATGTCGTCCTCGTCGTCTGTGCGGTAGCACACGGTGAGGCCCAGCTTGTCCTGGCTGTTGATTCTGTACAGGTCCACCTCCTGGACAAAGAGAGGTACCCCGTCAGGCACCCGAAGGCAGCCCGAGCGCGACAGACGCTTGGAAAATATTTTGTTTACATGATGAACGGGATTTCTTTGCATTCAACTGTATAGAGCTGGTTTAACTTACTAAACAAAAAGTGATTATGGACATGGGATCAATGCCCTGGGCATTTCTGACCCTTCAGTCAATATAAAGTCATTTTGAAAATAGTTATTTTATTGATCCTCCCAAAGAAAAATTACCCATATTTCACTCAGTGTCAAGACCTCAGGGGTGGGGCTTTAAAAAAACATTCCCTCAATGTCAGCCACAAACGAGAGGGTTTCCAGACCCCGGGCCACCCAGCCAGTGTGTACCAAGGCTTCCAGTGGATTTGGTCAGGTGCGTTCCCTTCACATGTCCCAGAAAAGAGGGGGACGGGATCCCACGCCTCCAGTGCTCTAGTGTTTCTAGTTGCAAAATAGTTTCATCCGCAAATTAAGTGAAATGAAAGCAGAGGGAGCAATGAGGGGCACAGGACGGGAATGTCACTGGATGTGCCCATTCCGTGTGCCCTTCAGGGTGAATTCAGAACTCTGAAGATTGAGACGGCTCTGGGAGGCTGCTCTGGGGTTTCTGAGAACGTAAACAGGCCAGGTCACCCGCTGCCCACTCTGCCAAGGACATGGGAAGTGTTTATAGCCACAGGACCATGGGAGGGGCCACTTGAGTTCCAGTGAGTGGACCCTTTGATCTGAATTTTGGCGTCACCTGCTTGCCAGCTAGGAGACGGGAAGGGTCCTCAGCATTTTTATGCCTGTGTCTCTAAGGATTGTTTCCAGGTGGCTTCTCTCGTGGCCCTTCTTAGAGGGTGAGGAGGGTGGAGAAACTCAAAAGGGCCACTGGGCAGCCACCCCTGCAGCCCTCCCTTGTGAAAGACAGGGACACCTTCCTGGCACCAGATAGCAAGTGCCAAGGCCCTGGGCGGTCAGAGTGCTCTCTGCAAAGGAGAGGGGTGGGCTGAGTGTGGCTGGGTCACAACAGAGGAGGCTCTGCAGGCTAGAATGAGGAATGCAGATCTTATTCCAGCGTCCTGGGGTCCCGGCCCAAGGTGGCGAGTGAGGACTGCTGTGATCCAAATTGGCTGTTAGTGGTCTCTGGATGATTTATAGAGTTCAACATGGTGAGGGATCAGGACGGTGAGGATGGGCAGACTGGTCTGCAAAGCCCAATCACCTCTTTCTAGAAGCTTCCTCACCAGCTTGTCATCCCCCATGAGCCTCTGCTTCCTTGCTACAGAGTGAAGAGTCAGAGGTGAGGCCCTCGGAGCCCTCAGCAGGTGGCTGTTTAATCAGGGGCGCAGGTGTGCTCGCCTGGGGTTAGCATCCTGGGAGCAGGGAGGGCGGAGTTCAGTGACCCCTCCACAGGACACCTTGAGTTTATCTCCTGATCATTGATATGTTGACCCAACGACTTCCTAATTAAGCTCTCGCAACAGGGCGAACTCTCATTAAATGAAACCCTATGAACTTCTCATAATTTAGTTGCATTAGATAGTACGGTTACCAGTGGGAGGAAGGAGATGATTTTAAGTGTGGGTTGAAGGGCCACAGCTGACCAAAGGKCCAGCTCCTTCCCAGTCCTCTGGAGTAACCCATTTTCCTATCACTAGTGGCCTAGTAAACCTCCCTGAGTAGCAGAGGCTGTGCTTMGTCTAGATGGGGGCCACAGAGGGGGCTCTGGGTTGGAGGGTTTCCTCAAGCTTTTTCTGGAGCAGTGAGAGTTCACTGGACAAGCCGCCATCCCACGGTTTCAAAATGAGGAACTACATTTGGGGACTCGGTGTTAGTTAAACTTCCCCAACTGCTTGGGTGGCTTGTAAATTCTCCACCTTTGTTTCTGCCTCGGAGCGGCTCAGTGAAAGCTATCTGTCCGTGATAAGATTTCAGAGATGCCCATTAATCAGAGTGGTGTGCATTATGTATCAAGTGTGATCTGGATCACCACCCCCTCCCATGTCCTGTTCCTCCCTGGGCTAGATGGACTGTTGGATAAAGAACTAAGCCTGACGTTTCAGATAAAACCGACACCATATTCCAATTAGGGGATGGAGGTGGCGTCGCCCCAGGGTGATTCAACTGCTCTGTTTTAGCTCTGGCCACTATAATCCTAGGGGACACCAAATGCTGATGTTAATATTGCACGCAGCCCTTGACCTTACGGGTCCAGAAATGGTGTGCGCGTTCCCAGCGTGTCTCTCTGTGGAGATGTAGGAAGGGGTCTAGCGACATGGCTGTTTCCCTGGGAGATGGGTGACAGCATTGACGTCTCCTTCAGATATTTAACTGTCCATGCCAGACACTGGGCAGGAGGAATGGAAAGGCCCAGCTCTGGGGGCGCATGTACTCCAGTGAGGGCATCCGATTCTGTGTGGGGGAGCTGTGCAAAGACCTGGGGAAGTGCCCGCAGGTGGAGCCGTGCATGAAGGGCCTGCTCTGCAGGGGGCAGAGCCAGAGGTGGTGGATGGACGTGCTCAGGGTTGACCAGGTGGTTTCCCTCAGGGGAAATTTCCAGATCGGCTGAATTGCTTCCAGGACCACCCGATTCCCTTCTGATCTACTCCTGTCACTCTAGGACACCGGAATTGGAGACCTCCTTAGCCCCCTGTGGAAACTGTAGCTTCCCTTTCTAAACAGGTCTCACAATGACATCATCAGAAATGAAGGCGCTACCACAGGTGACAGCCCGTACAGGACGCTGCTGCAGGGTCACGGGGGAAATTAAACAGTAGATTCAGGAAAGCCTTCCTCAGACATCTATTTTCTTTCTTAATTGCCGACAAGAAGACCTGGACCAGGTGTTCAGTACCTGGAAATTTATGGGTAATTATTTGGCGGCTGAGCCCTGGGGTGTACTTGGGAAAAATCCTGTCAACTCTGAGCAGTGTCACCATGACGGTGATCTGACAYGTACCCAAACAGGATCACTTTGTGGGCTTTAGAGGCAAGAACATCTGTTTTTCTCCACACACTGGCTTTGATAACACCCCACGTTTTCTCCTCATTTGGCCCCTGCAGACCACTGGCTTTTTCAAAGGACTGAGGTATTTTGCTGAGCTGCCCCCTCCCCGAAAACAGGCCTGATTCTTCTGAAATCCAGTAGCTGGAACAAAATGGGACGGAAGGCAGCTAAGAAATCCTGTGAGAAGCAGGGATGGCAGGTTGGTAATAGTGACCCTGAAAACGGGGTCCACTGGAGGAACCTGGGGTCTTGGCGGAGGAGTGAGGCATCACTTTTCTTAAACAGGCCAGATGACATCTGTGGAGGGCCTTGCAGGTGCCCTGGGGATTCTGATGGAGATGCCCTGGGGGTGGGTGGCGGCAGGGAGACTCTGTGTTACTGTAACAAAATACTGGAGGCTAGATATTTTCTACAGAAAGGAGGTACATTTAGCTCATGCTTTTGGAGATGCAAGTGGCTGGCGTCTGCTTGGCCCTGGTGGACTATGTTCTAGCTACCCCATGACCTGGTAGGTGACCTCACAGCTGGGCGTATGGCAAGACGGGAGGAAAGAGGCCAAGACTCGGAGGCGTCACTTATAATCCACTGTAGGTTGCCATGGATGACAGACAGAGGTGGGGGTACGTGCTGCTAGTGGTAAGCATCGTTCCCAGGAGCCAGCGATGTCCTGATGCTAGGAGGTTAAAAGCTAATGTGAGTGGTCCTCATGGCTGATGAGCCCCTTAAGGGCAGTCGGGTGGTGACTTCCTGCTGCTTCGTTTCTAAAGGCCAAACAGTGGACTTGGTGTCAAGAACAGATATAAAGTCTCRGGGTATCAAAGGTCTAAAACTTAAAATGCCTCATGAGTTTTCTGAGCCCTTGGATTCTGCTTCTGTTCATGAGAAGAGCCTTCTCAGGTCCACGAGGGGCTTGGTCCCTTCTCGGCCATGGTGAAAGGGCTCTGCCAAGGGGCAGTATGATGACATTGGTCCTGCAGGGGGAAAATGCATCCCTAAGGCCCCCTCTGAAACTCTGGAGACGAGGAGGGCATGGAGGGTCAGCCAGGGGTCCTCTAACCTCAGTGTGCCCAGAGGCTCAGGGACCTTGGGAAAGGGTGGGTCTGGGTTTCTGCAGCTTTCCATTCCCCAACTGAGGGTGGTGGTGGTCCTTATGCCCAGGGTGGCCAGGTCCTAGGGGACAGAATCCCATCCAACTCCAGAGGCTCTCGGGGTTCACATTGGAGACCCTACTTCTTAGGCTGACTGTGAACCCTTCTTTCACCCCAGCTAGCCCCCGCAGAGAAAGGGAAGAGYGGCATGTGGTAGCCTAGGTCGTAGGCCCCTGGTAGGCACCAGCGCTTAGTACCAGGCTTGAACACTGCGTAAACTTTTTATTTATGGTGGTTGATGCTGATTTGTGCTGGAGACAGTGGTATAGGAACTACCYTGGTTTAGTAACAGTTCTGGGTGACACCAAGTTAAAAACCTGTAAGGCGGATACTGTGGGGAACCATGTGCAAGCGCTTCTGGATGGGACTTGTCCTGGGACAGCTGGCTTCCATGACAGCCTCACAGGTATGAGAAAGTGAAAATGAAGGCAAGCTTAGGCACTAGATGTTGAAMGTCTATAAATCCAGCTCCTGAGGTATTTGAGAGCTTTGAGAAGCTCGGTTTTGTCAGTTACGATGCTCATCAAAAAGCAGAGTCAGCTGGGTGTGGTGGTGCACACCTGTAATCCCAGCAGCTGAGGATCATGAGTTCAAAACCGGTCTCGGCCATGGCTGGAGATGTGGCCCAGTGGTTAAGGACATCTGGGTTCAATCCCTGACACTCATGCACGTAAATAAAGGCCAGATCATCAGCCCTTCCAAGAGTGTTCCAGAGACAGAATGAGGAAATGTAAACAGGAACATTAACTGGAGGAGAGAGGTTTGGGAAATCTGCCTGCTGTGTCCACCTCTCCTCCCCAGGGAGGAGCCCATATAATTTTAAGAGTCAGGAGTTCTGGACTCTGCTTAAAAATCTGTCTTGGGGATGTGGCTCAAGCGGTAGCGTGCTTGTGGCCCTAGGTTCGATAGGACACTGCAAGTCAGGGGCAGAATCCTTATTACTTTTTGAAAAACAGCTCAGCTACCTTTCCTGGGTAGACCAGAGCCACAGTWTGAAATTCTCAAACAGTGTCAGCTGGCTCCAGTTGCGACTGCCCATCGTTATTGACCTTATCCTCTAATTTGAAAGGAGAAGCCTGGGTGCCRGTGAAAGGGATGCTTGAGGAATACAGGCTTTTTAAAAACTCTTTGCCTGTCACTGGCTGGGAACCTGCTGCGGCTAAACACCTCCTGGAGCTCAGTGGGCGGCCCAGGTCCCACAGCGGTTGGGCGTGAGACTGGATCTGTGTCAGTGGGATTTCCCTGGTCGACCTTCTCGTGGGGCCAAGGGCTCCCCTGTCAACATCAGGGATCTCTTTAAAAGGTGCCTATGACCTTCCCGGGAACACACTGAAACATGACACAGCCGACCACGCCCTGGAATGGGCTGTCCTTTTTTTCCTATCACCCTTACTAAAGGGACAACAAGTAGAACTTAGCGGACACCAGAAAAACCCTAATCATGAGTCCTCTCTGGACTTTGCTTAATTTCTTCAAGATTCTCGTTAGCAAACTTGGAGCACAAGAAGCAGTGGGACAGCATCTATCCCCTGCTGTTGAGCCTCACTTGGAGAGAGAGGTGGCCATGACTTAGAGGTGAGGGCTTACTAGTGGGGAGGAGTGTGCAGATGACAGGGAGCCCAGGTTGAGGACTTGCTGAGCCCTGATATGAAGGGGCAGGGAAGTGCCCTTCATGACGGAAGGGACTTCTGACAGATTCCCTCAGCACCGAGCAGCATTCTGTGCTTGACACAAGGGCTCCGTACCTCCAGCTCCAGCTCCTCCCTGTCCATGTCCTGGTGCATGTCCCCCATGTAGTCATTGGGATCGTAGTACTCGTGGGCCGAGGGGTGCCTGCAAGGAGACGAGAGATGGGTAAGGCCAGGTTCCGGGGTGAGGATCTGTGGACAGTTCTCAGGGCGAGGCCCTTGCACCACTTTCCTCACTGTCCACTTTCTGGAAGAAGTTGAGATACAAAGCTCAAGTAAGGTGGGCTTGGTTTCTGGACTCCAGGCCTGAGCCCACATCATGGGGTTCAAGGTAACTGAGCTCTACCCTGGCCTCTGGGCAGAAATAGGCTGGACTTGGGCAGCACTTCAAGATGCGTGCCAGGACCCGACTGAAGCTGTTCCACTGTCACCCAGGACACTGTCTTTTCGGATCTTACTCAGAAATGCACTTGACCACACATCTCTGGGCCGTATGTGCGCCTGCAGACCTGCATGTGCCATTCAGAGAAGTGGACCCTCACTCGTATTTCTCTAGGACCACACCTGTGACACAGAGCCCACCCCCTTTTGGAAACATCTTTAATGAAACCTCTAGGGTGAAGGCAGTGGGAATTATAACGTGCTCGTCAGTGGCTCTGGAAAGCCTTGGCTGGTGACCCCAGCCCTCACCTCCTCAGAGGTCAGAGCCTTCAGTGGGCTGTGGCACTTAACTTGGAAATAACAGCTCAGGCTTGAGTGGTCATTGCAATAAGGGCTGCCTTTMAGAGTCCTGGGTCCATCAGACAAATACGGGCCTGCACTTAAGAGGCTTTTAGGTCCCAGGGACGCTGCTGGAGGGGCTGGGCTTTCTGACCAACTTAACGCTCCCTGCTTGTTCCCCATGCATGCTCCTGTCTCCCAGCCAGAACCGACGAGGCCCGACCTCTGGACTCCTCCGACATTTCTCAAGTTGCCCCGGGGAATAAGTCCTGTCTTGTTAACTAGGCTTCAGAGGAAATTAGGGGTTTGGCTTCTAAAAGGCTCSCCCGTTCCTGTGGCAGTTCACTATCCCAGAGTCGGGAGTGGCACCATTGTGCTCTGTAATGTCCACAATGGGCTGGGGCTCACTGGCCCTGTGTAGCAGGGACTGTGGTGGGAAAGGAAAGTGGCAGGTGAGGCCCTGCCTCTCGTGCTGTCAGCTGCAGGGGAAGGTGCTTTGGTGGGGCTGCAGAGTTACTAATAGAAGCCCACCAGGAAGCACCCAGGTTTCCCCACAGAGGAGAACAGACCTCTCAAAACAACGCACCAAGCTGGTGTTGAGTCAGGGTGGACTGAGCTGGGGCTGCTCCCTTCACAGCCGCGGGTGGGACTGGGGAATTTCCTGCTCCTCACCTTTTCCTGAATGTTTGACGTCCTTCCTGCGGGCACGATCCCTGCCACCCTTTCCTGAGCGCTWACCCCTATGCCAGGGCCTCCCCCGGTTGGTTATCGGGAGGAAAACGGTGTCAATCTCTGTCAGTACAGGCAAGATGAGGTCCAGGGTCAGGCACTAGTCTGAGCATCAGGTTTATCTGATGCGAAGGTTCTGAACTCTGTTCACTGAGGGGAGAGTCCCGGCTGCCTGAGGGGGGCCACGGGTGCAGACAGCATCACCCCAGGACTCTTGTGTACTGAATGTTCCCCGAAGTAGCGACTGCACAATCTTCAAATTACCATGTGCGGTGACTTAAGTTTTACTCCCAAAACAACTTTCACAACCTTTGTAAGTGATGTCATTCTTGGAATATAATTTGAACAACTCCACTCTGGGCTCATAATAAAGTCATCAATATGTCAGAGCGGTTTTGAGCAGGATTTGGTTCACGGCCTCTATAGACGATAGTCACCTGTGAGCAACCAGGAGGAATGTTCTCATCTTCCCTATGGGACAAGCTGGTCACAGTAGGGCTACTTACTCCTCTGGCAGAAGGTAGGGGTCCAGGACGGGTGGGCTGGGAGAGGACATCTTCGTCAAGGCCATGATGTGCTCGAAGGTGATGTCGGTCTGCGTGCCAGCGTCCACCAGCTGGGCCTCCGCTGGAGGAGTGAACATCTTGGTCCGGGGCGTCCTTCTCAATACCTGGACCACGATGGGCTCTTTGGCTGTCTTAAAGGCCTCCACCGCCTGGTCATGAGTTGCTCTGGATAAATCTTTGCCGTTGACCTGTTGAGAAACGTTGAGGGTGGAGCAGGGTTAGAGTMGAGCAGAAACCGGAAAGACGAGTCCCTGGCCAGAGTGCTTTTGGGTGTGAGTAGCCCAAGAGGAGGGCCACGTGTTAGGGGTCAGAGCACTCCCACAGAATGTCTGGTGGGAAGGGGGTGACAGCAGAGGTCTACAGATCTGGCACTAAATAATAAATCTCACAGCAGGAGAGTCCCGGCCTCCCCCTGGAATGGCTTTTAATGCAATTTCATCGCTTGCTAATCTTGCCTGGCAAAGAAAAGACCAGCCCGAGGCTCCCAGACTATCAGGCAATAATAGCTAACTAGAAATTAATTAYGACGCAAGGCTTCGGCACTGGGCATGTGTCTAGTTGTGTGGGGGGATGAGAGCTTCCTCTGAAGGATGTGACTGCGCGCTGCCCTGTACCTTTCAGTCTTTCGCTTTCCTTCAAAAGCCCACTGAAAATATTGACTGAAGGACAGCACCGGCCATCAGTGGGCACAGCAACTGACCACGGAGGGGAGCCACACAGGCACCACGGAAGGAGGTGTAGCTTTGTCTCCCACCTTCACCAATGCTGTGGCCCAGTGCTTGTACTTACTGAGCGCCTACTGTCTACTGATGACCCTCAACACTTCTCACTGTCCACGAGACTGGTAGTACCTAGCATTCACCTCCTTCTCCCCAGTAAGTGACTAGGGCAAGGTGGGCCAGATACGCTCGGGATGCTCCCCAAGCCACCATCAATACGGAGTCGACGCAGTGGTTCCCGTAGAGCAGCTCATGCAAGATGAAAGCAGAATTTTATTTCTAGAAATGTCATTCCAAGCACCACAAAGTCCCCCTCTTTAATTCCTCCCCTCTCTTCCCCATAAAACCAAGGACTCATGTTCAGGTTGTAACGTTTTGTGCAGGTAATCTGGTGACCCCTTATGATTGGATTATGGGAAACATGAGGCCCAAAATATTTTTCTTCAGTCAGCTGATTGGCTTTGTGTAAAATTAAGGATGAAGTGTGTACAAATGGCAGCTCACAGGTACCTGAGACCCTCTGGAGAAGGATGCTGACTCATTCTACTGCTTTTCATGGGCTTTCCCGAGTTGGACTCTTAGGTTAACAGCTCATTCTTTACGAATGGCCAAAGGACGATGGCCCCCTGGGCTTGTYGCTGTCAGCTCTGGGGTGGGCACGGGTTGGGGGCTGCTGCGTCTTCTAAACCCTTTTGCTCTGACACTATGGAACAAGTCCCGGGGCGGAGCGCTTTGTAAAAACTACTGAGTGGAGGAAGAGATGTCTGATTTGTTGCCCGGAATGAATTCCAAATGAATCACGCCCGTGGAGGTTGGGAAAGGCYGGGACCCAGTCTATTTATGCAGAAGGACAACTCTAGGAGTCAACAGTCCCGGTAAATAAAGCAGGAGCCGCACCATCCCACTTAAAAACCAGGCAGGACGGGAGCGGCCAGCTTGATCCTGCCACTGATGTGTGAGTCCAGTACAACCTGAGTGTCCTTTATCAAGATGCCAGGACCAGAAATGCACAAGGGTTGAGTATTTTTCTGGATTTTGCAGTAGTTGCTTAACCCTTCCCTGGCGGAGCGTCCCCCATGAAAGTGACCCAACCTCCCAAATGCTCTCAGATCCCAGGCTTTTCGAGCACTATGACTCGAATGTTTGGGATTTCAGAATTAGAATACAATATTCTAAAAGCAGTTGCTAGTTAATGGCACAAGTAGGAGACGTGGCCAGTRTGCCACCCTCTTACCCAAGGTGGTTTACTTGTGGTCACGTTGGACATTAGGATTTCTGAGTGTAGAACCTGTCCATTCCCTATTTACACAGGACCACTCAGCCTTTTTCCCAGATCTGAGATTTTCTTCCTAAGCCCAGCATCTTCCTCAACTTCCCGTCYTCAAGAAAGTCAGAGCTAAGATACAGGAGGGCAGTTGGACCCGGGAGTCGCCCTCTGACCCGCCTGATTCTGACAGATGCTGGTCAGCTGCGTGGTCCGCCCACAACCTTCCCTCCGTGCTTTTTGCCAAGACAGTTGTCACCCTCTGCCTAATGATGGACTTAGATATGAGCTTGTAAAGTAATGGGCTGAGAGGAGAAGGGCAGCTGCCAGGGAGCTTGAGGTTTTGTCCAGTGGTTACATTGGAACGGGGTGGCCTCTCTCTGGATTATAGGTCTGCATGTGTTCCTTAGACTTGTGCAGCACCTTGGGAACAGCGTCAGAGGCCATGCTGATACTCTGAGATTCGGGGCTCTGGCAATACCACTGTGTGCGCTTGAAGCTTCTGTCTTACACACTCATCACACTGGACCCGGCCGTGCACACGCTTCAAGCCATGTGACTGGGATTTGAATAACCCACAATCCAAAACACCCTAACAGATGAAATATCACAGAGGGACAGTGTAAGATGAGGCATGAGTATGTCTTTAGGGCCAATTGAAAAATACTCTACTCTAGGGAGACGGCTTTTCTCATTAGAGGCGCTGGTTCACTTGGCTCACAACTTTGGCAACTAGAGTTCATTAAGTGAACTTCATAACCCTGTGCTACCACACTGAGGGGCTATTTAAATGGCGCCGGGAGGAGACTGGGTGTTGGTTTACCCAGTGACTGAAGGCTCCTCCTGTCTGCASCTGGATGTGGAGGAATACCCATTGCAGCCCCAGAGGGTGACCTAAAAATGTGTTTTTGTGGACCTTTTGGCATCATTAGTGGGGCAGAATGTCACCATTGCTTATGGCTGGGTTCCMCTGGAAAGGCAAGACTGTCAGAACCCCTAGGGAATAATTCTAGCAGTCCAGTGTTAGTTTTCCATCATTCAAAGGTGCTCCTTTCTTAAGAGCTCAGCGCAATTTTACTGTTTACTCAGATTGCCTAATGTGGCAATAATAAAAATGCATTCTCAGTGCTAAGGGAGCGCCTGTACCTTCCAAAAAGAAAGCCGCACACTTGAGCCTGCTTGGGGGTGGGTGAAGAGTCACGCGTGTGCTGTGAGGCTTCAACCTCCTGGCCCTCCTATAGACATGAATATTTCTGACCTAGACTTGGGATTCTTGGGGATGAGGAGTGGGGCTCGCAACAGATAAATTTTACAGGACTTGACCCCTGCCASGCAGGATTCTTGACAAGGTATTTTAGGGATCATTACATTCTCTTAAGACGACGTGACGAGGCGGGTGTTTACTACCCTAGACGATCCATTTTTGCAGCCAAATTTGTTTTGAATTACCTTGTGCACATAACACTTATTACACTGTCATCCTGGAAATCCCATCACCGTGAGTCTCGGCAAGGTGATGGCTCCAGTGCGTGCTGCAGTCAACCGAGAATGACAGCCTTTATTCTCCGGATTAGCATCGCATCTACATTACACGGAACAGCGGTGCTGATGATGGCTGTGGTTAGAGACGGGAGGTGCGAATGGTGACGTTTGGCCCCGGTCAAATTAAATATCATTAACTTGCCCAATTGAGCAGATTGCCTTTAAAACCGTTTATGCCACTCTAAAACCAAGTAAATGGAATGTTTGGGAACAAGAAATGCTGATTGCAAACTTTATWATAAATTAAATGCCTAAGTTATTCACCTATGGCTCATCCCCCCAGGACGGAGGTGCAATTATGGTGTGAATCTAATCAGTGAGTCTCAAAGCTACACTGTTGCAAATGGAACCTGACACTAAGGAGCCTTCAGGAGGGGCCCGGGTGGGAGCACTCCTGTGACAAGACAGTAGCGGAGGGTCTGGTTCCTTCCTGGAGCCACTGCTCTTGGCAGGAGGAGGAATTTGACTTGGCTGAGGTGGCCAGGCTGCCCTGAGATGGCACCTGCAGGGAGACTTGCTGGTCCAATGGCCCAGAAAGAGGTTCACTGTCCCCCTGAAATTCCACTGGTTGCTACTCTAAGGCAGTGACACCTTTCAACACCCCGGGGCCCCATATTCTGTATGGCCTCATCGTAAGCAGTTCGAGGTATTTAAAACCAACCTGTCTTCAGCTTAGAAAACACGCAGCTATTTATAGATGTTAGCTATTCTGGGGATCAGCACATYGCCATCCCCTCTAGTGCTACAACATGTTCAAATGACCCAGTGTAAAATGCTAATGCAGTTCTCAATTCGGCCCACTGTAAATCGTGCCCTGGGCTAGAAGCCCTACTTTTATAGGGATCATTTAATTAAATACAGGGGCAGTGGTTTCATCCTGTAAAACATCACACCTATATTTTCAAACTAATTAAAACTTACACAATGGTCCATTGTTTCTGGTAGAATCTATTATCATAAACTACAGTTTCGAGCTGTGATTTAGGTGGATAAAAAAGTGCTTTTTTGATCCCGGAAACTTCTGTTTAATTTATTTCAATTTTATGGGCTGCTTTATAGAGCCCGATGGAGGAAGGCAGCTTATCGATAATCTAGGCATCATGGTAGTCAGAGAATGCGTCTTGACAAACGTGATTCCAATACTGTGTGCCTGTGGACAGTACTTCCCTTTGTGAATAGCCCACCCTGTCACAGATCTCAAGTCCTCTGYAGTGAAAACTTGGATCTGTATGGGTGGCTTTGGGCCCTAGTAGGGATCTCTGTGGAGTCCATGGGAACTTCTAAATGCATCCTGGTGCGTTTCCATGACTACACGATCCCTCCTGAATCCGTTCCCAGAATCCTGTACAGGTGAAGTTGTAGCCTTAGTAATTTTCATCTTAGTTGGGTCTTCCTTGTGTCTAGCTTAAGTGTCTCACATTTTAAAAACCTTTACCTTCTTCTAAATACAGGCTGTACATCCTATGAACCTCTTAAAGAAACAGACTAAAACACCCCCCACACATATATGTTAATTTTTCAAGACAAGTATGAGTCTCCCACCTCAGTCAGCACCTCTCTCATACCCACACCCCAAGTCTCATCTTAAGTGACGGCACTCACGTGTCCACTAGTCTGTTTGCACCGGGACGCTTGAAAGAAAGACACAAGGCTCTACACTGTC